AGTGGCATGCCTCCCCTGGCAGTCCTAGAGCTGGTTAGTAATGTGGTTCCCAGGCCCTCCCTCTTGGAGAATTTTGATTCTGTAGGTTTGGATCTCCATTTCTAACAAGCTACAGCTGATGGCAGCGCTTTTGGTCCTTGGATCCCACTGTGAATAGCACTGGGTTTAAAAGACCCTTTTCCACTGACTAGCTAGCTAATCTTTAAAACTTTTGCTTCCATATTAAGATTAGCAAAACAAGGTGATTGTATGGCAGGGTATGCAAAGTCTATTTCTGCTTTTATGTATTAATCAAACCATAGGAAACTTTTGGGTCTGATAAAAGCTATTTTTAAGAAACATTTGGTATCATATAGCACCAGGCTACTAATCATTGTGCCAGCTATCCCACAGTCGTGGTTTTGACTAATGGCATTTGGAGGTCTGTCGTCTGGGCCTGCATTTTGTTATGCCTTTGTATTTTCACCAGTGACTTACGTTTTGGCTCTGCCTGTGTAGCACTTGACAGTAGCATAAACTAAGAGCAGAGGAGAGTTTAAACAGCTGTTTGCAGTTGCCTCTTATAGTTCCTTCCCTCCTGACATCTTTCCTTTTCATTTGAGTTCTGAAAATTTCTAAAAATGTTTTTCTTAGAGTGAAGATTTTCATTTACGTTGTTGATATGCATGAATACAAATAACCTTAAATATTACCTTTCATTTTTCTTCTCTTAAAATTTTCCAAATCTAGGATGGTACCTTGTTTGATGGCCGACCAATAGAGTCTCTGTCCCTGATAGATGCCGTAATGCCTGATGTAGTCCAGACAAGACAGCAGGCTTACAGAGATAAGCTTGCACAGCAGCAGGCCGCAGCTGCTGCCGCAAACCAGCAGGGGTCTGCAAAAAATGGAGAAAACACAGCGAACGGGGAGGAGAATGGAGCACACACTATAGCAAGTGAGTTGAGACAAGGATTTCTAAAAATTTTGTTTGAGAAGAGTTATACTTCTTCACTAGAATGTCCCATCTTGTAAGCTGAAATAACTTCATCTGTTTTATTTATATCAACTTGTTCCCTAACTTGTATCACACCACTCAGATTATAATTACTAAAGCTCCAGAAAGCTAGATTTACTTTTATTGACTTTATTTTCTTTTAGAAATATTTCGAAATCCTTTTTCCATTGTTAAGTGAAATTTTATGTTGCATTGATTTCCAAATAAAGTTTATAATACTGGTTATTAACAAATACTGTGAAAGGCCAACCCTGAGCTAGAAAGGCAACTCTAATGTTATGTGAATGATACCAGCAGCCCCTACTGGCAGAATCTCAGAATGATGTTGGTGTATACTATATTTAATTCAAACCATGTTACCATTTTAGCCATGTTTAGGTGTAATCTTTCACATTCCTCCTTCTCCCTCCACCTCCTCCTGCCCCTCTAAACACATACTCATACACATACTTTCAAAAATAACATGATCATAATTAACTAAAGATAAGAATTTATTTTCCATGTGACAAAGAGTATGTAGTCTAGTCATATTTAATTTAACATGACATAGCAGAAAATTTTACACTGCATATGGAAAAGGAAGAATTTTTTTTTCCTCTCAGGCTATCGTAATATTACCTAACTGGAATTTTCCACTCGTTTCCCATAATGCAGATAATCACACTGATATGATGGAAGTGGATGGGGATGTTGAAATTCCTTCTAATAAAGCAGTAGTGTTACGGGGCCATGAATCTGAAGTTTTCATCTGTGCCTGGAACCCTGTTAGTGATCTCTTGGCATCAGGGTATGTTTCTCAAAGTGGTAACTAAAGTAGCTTTTAAAAATATATTACTGAATGGTTAACACATTTTATAAATATATTACTTATATTTTCAGGTTTTTGTTGTTGCTTATTTGTAGTCATTTTTGTTTCTGCAAATCTTATTTCTTCATGAAGTAATTTTAGAAGTTTTGTTTAAACTTAATTACTTCAGCAATGCTCGGGGGGCCCAAAAAGTAGAATGGGAAATATACTAGAAACGCAGATACCTGATAGTCTAGTTCATGTTTGTCTTGTTAGTAATAGGATGTCAATGTGTTGCTTTGACTCTGATAGTTAAGAATGTCGTGAGAATTTAAAGTACGTTGTACTTTGTAGGTCTGGGGACTCAACAGCAAGAATATGGAATCTTAGTGAGAACAGCACTAGTGGCTCCACCCAGTTAGTCCTCAGACACTGTATACGAGAAGGAGGGCAAGACGTTCCAAGCAACAAGGATGTAACATCTCTAGATTGGAATGTGAGTATCCCTGTGGTCCATGAGGCATGACGTGACTGATAGACTTAACCCTCAGAGCCTCAGAATGATGGCAGAGTTTGTACAGTTACTCTTGGATCTCACTACCTACTAACAACAGACTGGTAGTCCCCACTCCCAGATGGGGTGCTGAGGAGAAAGACTGGCCGTGGAGCAGTCAGACTGAAGTTCAGTCCTGCCCCCACAACCCCCAGTTCATTTAGCAGCATATACTGGGTAAAATTGTTCCTTTGAGCTCTGTGCTTCATTTTCTGTATGTATGAAGTGGAATTGTGAAAATGGCACCCGCATAAATGCAGTAATAGATGAATATCCCTAGCATAGTAACAGTAAATTCTAGAACAATTAGATTAACAGACAACATACTATATGTTTAACAGGTGAATTGTTAGTTGGGGGAGAAAAGAAATCTATATAGCAAAAAATACATTCTTGTCATTCTCACTGTGTTGTGAACTGATACAATTTCATTGCCAACTGTCTTTTAGGGGCCATTAGTCTAGATTTCTTCCAAGGTTTATTCTAACTATTTGGAATCTGAGAATTCTCAGATCCTATATGTGACTCAACATCGTTCAGGATAACTTAACTACTCTGACTTAAAACGAGTTTGATTTTTGTTGTTTATGTATCTTCACCCTTTCCCTTTCCAGTGCATCTGACCTGCATGCTGGCCCTAGCCCCTAAGCCTTAGATCATTTTAGTGTTGTAAAAAAAGTCAGGAGGTAGCTGTCCTTTCCTTGGCAGATGAATGTCCTATCTTCCTCTGGCCTCTCTTCTACTTTTTTGTGGGGCTTTCAAAAGGATCTCCAATCCCATTCTCAAGGAATGAGATCTGTCTTTAAAAAAATGATTATCCCAACTTAAGTTTTTAGTTTCTATGAAATTCTTTCAGAATGTCTCTAGGTAGACATTTTTAATATTCTCTTCCAGAATTTATATAGCAGTATATTTTCCTTCTGTAAAGGATTGACAATTCTAAACATTTAAAAAGGGGTTAGCACATTGCAGTATAATTTGCTTGTAGGATCAGGATAAAGAATTAACATGCATCCCTATTCTGTTTTAGATCAAAGACCTTTAGCTACCTATGCTACCTGGCCAAGGAATCCTGTTAGTTTAGTGAAATCTACAGTTTACACTGAAAAGGATGATTAATGAACATTGGTTTGTTGAGCTTGGTGATTCTGAAATACAAGTTATGTAACATTTGAAAAGTATGGACTTTTTTTCACTGTGAACTTGAATATTTTACCAAAAAGGAGAAAATATCCTCAATTAACAATTCTTTCCCATTACTAAAGTAAGAGCCTGCGAGATGTCTAATTTTTAAAGTATTCTTTTTCTACTAATACCTGAGTAGTTCTAGAACAGTTAGGGTAAGTATGAAATGTCCAGTCTCCTTAAATTTCTCTGACATCGCACTTCACACTGAGTGTGTGTTTGATGTGAAGATACATATCCTCATTCTTCCAAACGCACATTTTTGTTCATGATTATCTTTCAAATATTTTTAAGAGCAATTTTTTTTAAACCACGGGTAAGTAAAAAATTTGTGTTATTTTTCAATATGAGTTCCATCGTGAACCAGTGCAGCACACACAGCTCATAATACCAATGAAGTGTGTGGGAAGGATGTGGCTGATGAACTCACAGTACATTGATGGTTTGAGAAGTTCTGTTCTGGTGATTTTATCTGAAACTGAGCCGCATGGATGATCTGAGACTAAGGGGAACAATGATGAGCTAAAAGCTATAGTGGAAGAGAATCCGTTTCAACCTGCGTGTGAAGTAGCAGCAGGTTGGATGTTAATGTCCCAGTGATAGTGGACCATTTGAAACAAACCATCAAGGTAAAGAAGCGGATAGATGGATGAATTAAATGAGAGAAGAGAAATCCTCCCGGAAATTGCCTTTCTTTTTTGTCACAACATAAAGGTGAACCATTTCTGCACCGTATTGTTATGTGTGATGAGAAATGGATTCTTTTTGACAATCATAAGCATTTGGTACATTGAATGAATGAAGAGGAAGTGCTGGAACATAGACCCAAACTGAATATTCATCAGTAAAAGCTGATGGTGTCTGTGTGGTGGTCTGGCACTGGGATTACCCACTACAGCTTCGTGAAATCTGGTCAGTCCAGCAGGTGCCTCCTGCAGACAATTGGACAACGTGAGGATGCTTGTGATTTTTTTTTGAGACAGTTTTACTATGTCACCCTTGGTAGAATGCTGTGGCATCACAGCTCACAGCAACCTCAAACTCTCAGGCTTAAGAGATTGTCTTGCCTCAGCCTCCCAAGGAGCTAGGACTACAGGCACCCACAACAACTCCCAGCTATTTTTTGTTGTTGTTGTAGTTGTTGTTTAGCTGGCCCATGCCGGGTTTGAACCTGCCAGCCTTGGTACATGTGGCCAGTGCTGTAACCATTGAGCCAAGCCAAAGATGCTTATGATTAAGCAGCTAAGATTGGTCGGTAGACACAGGCCAATCCTCTTGCAAGACAGCACTGGACCACATGTCTCACAAACAGTGCTGCTGAAACTCCGGAAGCTAGACTTGGAAACTCTGTCATCCACTGTGCTCACCAGACCTTGCACCAACTTACTGCTGCTCCTTCTAGCTTTTGGACTGCTTCCTGAAAGCTGTAAGAATGCTCAGTTCTCAGCAAGCTGTGGACAGAGTCTTTTGAGATCTCATCGCCATTCACTCTCCATCCAGGGTTCTTTGCTGCTGGCATACACAGTGCTGCTACCCTTAAGATAGGAAAACTGTGGATACTTTGGGCACATACTTTGATGAATTTTACTGCTTTTTGTTTGAGATGTAATAAAACTAAACTTTGATTCAAAATTGGACATTTCAGATTTAATGATCTAATAAACATTTCAAGACTGGTAGTTTAGATGAAACTTGACATTGTACAGATCTGGAAATAAGCCTTTGCCATTTTCCACATGACTCCTTCTTGCTCAGGTAGACCCCTGAGGGATTTCCAGGTCCTAACAGAATCTGCATTTCCCAGAGCCAGTATTTGTTTGTCACTTGCCTAAACAATAAAATGGCTTGAAAGGTATGAAATAGGATTTTGTTTTGAATGCCCTTACCAGATAACCTCAAGATGGCACCAAGTAAGTCAGAATTCTATTCTTTTTTTTGATTTTTTTTTTTTTTGTTTTGCGGTTTTTGGCCGGGGCTGGGTTTGAACCCGCCACCTCCGGCATATGGGGCCAGTGCCCTACTCCTTTGAGCCATAGGCGCCAGAATTCTATTCTATATCTAAGTAATGTTTATTCATTCCTACAAGAGCCTCTTTTATTAATCTGTAACTTTTGCATGTGTGTAGAGTAAGATCTGTCCTTGTCTGACACCACTCATCAGGGCAAGGCACAGCAAGGGAATGTAATGTAAACACAGGGAAAATGGTGTGGGTTTCCTGGTAGCAGAGCCAGCAGCTGTACTCTCTTCATCAGCTGTGAGGTCAGCCTCACTCTTCCCTGGTTCTTTTCCTTGTATTGCTCTTTTTATTGGTAAATTTTTCAGAGTGGGAAGGAATTAACAAAGTAAAGAGATATTTAAGTGTTTAGGAATCTTGTTATCTGAAATAATGTTGTATGGATCATACACACTTTGTAGAGAGTAAAGGATATAGAAGGATGGGCAAAAACTCCTAATCATAAATATGTAGGAAGACTTTTCTTTTTCACGTCTATTGAATCATTATAAAATTATGATTTTGATTCCTCCCAACCTACCCACCCTACCTCCGTTCTTAGATGTGTGGGTCTGTGACAAACTGGAGACCTGTGGTGTGCGGGCGATGAGCGTGGTGGTGCTGACGCAGGCCCCCCCCGCCCCCCCCCAGCAGTGACTGCTCTGCTGAGATTTGGGTGTGAGGCCCGCGTCCAGCACGGGCTCCGCTCAGTGAACGCAGGTCCTTAGCTTTTGGTAGCACTCACAAATAGGCAACACTGCGAAGTTCAGAGGCAGAGAATGTCGGGGTCTACTGTATCTAGGATTTATTTGTTTATTTTTATTAAAAGACTAAGCAGTGAATAATTATGATTTATAATGTGCAAACCATGGCATCTTAACAGTGTTCCAAAGGGATGTTTAAATAACTATTATATTCATTCAGGTTCTAGCAGGTAAGATCCTCAAAGGACCAAGTAAAGGGCCTGGCAGAGCAGAGGAGACTGAGGGGTAGGGGTGGTCCACTGCGCCCCAGGGGACTGTCAACCCTGTGTCTGAGTCGTGTGTGGCTTTGGGAAGTCACTGCTCGGCTTTGAGAAACTGTGGTACCTGGAGTCCAGGTTTCTGAGAGCTAAACTTTCACGCTACCCTGTGGCCAGACGTCCCCCCAAGAGTGGCAGCACGGCCAGGGCATTGAAGGAGTGTCCTGGGGAGGGGAGCCCCGCCCAGGGGAAGAGGGGAGTCCTGGGCAGGGGAAGGACAGTCCTCACGCTGCAGTGATGTCTGAGCTGCCAGCGTGCTTCTCCCAAACGTACCTCTACCTCTTCCGGGCTGAGGAGCTGTGCCCAGGGTGTCCCACAAGTCATCACCGTCCCCCAACCCAGACCCCAGGGGCAGTGGCACAACTTGAACCCAACTCCGAGGCTCTGGGAGCCGAGGGGAGCAGCGGGTATGGCCTTCCCCACATCCTTTCCCATAGGACCCAGGGCCACTGTATCTAGGATTTAGACGTGAAATATTTTGGTTAACTGTTAACCACTGTCTTTATTTGATTATGTAATAGAACAATGTTTTTCTCTGACAGAGTGAAGGTACACTTCTAGCAACTGGTTCATATGATGGATTTGCCAGAATATGGACTAAAGATGGTAAATGAAACATTTTTATTTTTAGTTTGTTGTTGATCTACATAAAGTTGGAAGTAATTTTAATGTTTTTCTTTTTGAATTCTAGGTAACCTTGCTAGCACCTTAGGGCAGCATAAAGGCCCTATATTTGCATTAAAGTGGAATAAGAAAGGAAATTTTATCCTAAGTGCTGGAGTAGACAAGGTAAAAAGAACATTGAATTAAGTTTGTGAAGGTTAATGTATTACAGGGTTTAACTAAAAGCACTACTTCCTCTTCTCTGCTAATCACATAAATAGAACATTCACATTTGGGAAATTCAAGTGTGAGTTTATGATAATAATAGAAATGCTTTCTTAGATTTCTGTCAGCTCATTCCTAAACCTACTCATCAAAACGCCTTGCATCCTTTATCCATGTCACTCACGTGCCTCATTTCCTTTAGAATCTGAGCCATGATGAGTGTCATAGCTGCTGCCCTGTTGGCTTCACTTGCTTGGTTTCTACAGTTTCTGGTTTATCTTATCAGTGCATGTGGCTCTGGAGAGATTCTATCTGAGCCACTGGAGCCATTTGTTAACGTAACTCTTGATACTTACTTGAAACTTTTTTTTTTTTTTTTT